GAGGCCCTTTTTAAAAAAAAAAAAAAAAGGCTGGGATCAGAGCCCACGCTTCCCCCATCGCCTCCCGCCGCGGAGCGCGCGAAGGGCGCGGGGAGAGCCCACCGCCGCGGCACTGGGATGCAACCTGCAGCAGGGCTTCCCGGGAGCAGCCGCAGTTATCGCTAAGGGCACCCGGCCGCAGTGCAAGCTGATTGCATTGAGAAAGTGGGTGTCTTTATGTTTATTTTTGTCCGAGGGAATCAAACAGTAAAACGCTGTTCCCTAACTAGCAGGTCTGACACAGGAAACGTTATTTTCCCTCCTACTGTTTCTGGGACCTCCCTCCCACTCCAGATGCAACCCAGCCTCACGTGGGTTCAGTCCCCACAGCTCTCTGTTTAGTCCCTGTGTTAATCAGAGGCTGGCTGCGTTTCTGTCTCAGATTCAGAGGCCTCCAGGTGACTCAACAGGATGCTGTGCTCCCTCTGAGTCAGTCAAACCCTTGACATATCCTGATTTAAAGCATCACTGGTGCCGGAGAGAAACGGGGGCTCAGATGACAGGAGGCGGCCTTTGATGTCTAGCGAGGAGAAACGCACAGCAAAAATGAGTGTACGCCGGACTCCCACTCCCGAATTCCTCCCCAGGCAGGTGGGGAGGAGGGAAAGGAAATCGGGTTGCTGGGAAAAAAACAAAAAAAAAAATACGAAGAGCCTCCATATGTTCCAAGTTAGCTGCGGCAAGTCAGGAGCGAAGGGGGATACCTAACTGCCGGTGCCCTCTCCCCGCGGGCCCGCACCGGGGACTCGCGCGCTTTCCCTTCTGCACTGGACACAGGCTGCTGCCCGTGTGCATGGGGCAGCCCGGGAGCAGCTGGATTACAGCGAGCATAAACCCCCTCGCAGGACACTGTCCCGGGAGGCACTGCATGCTCCAGCGTTTCCCCACGACTTGCCGGCTCCCCAGCGCGTCTCGGCGGCCCTGCGCCCACCTGGAGCTGCCGCATGCGCTTCTGCAGCTCCTGGGTGCCCAGGGAGGTCTCTGCGGATGGCACGTTCCCTTCGCTCTCCTTCAGCCACTTCCTCACGACTCCAACCAACTTTCGGAAATCGTCCAGTTGCTCCTGGCAGGATGACGCATCCTTTTCTCTAATAGTGAAAAGGTTTTGGAGAGTTAGAGCTCGTGCTTCGCGTTGCAATTACCACGGCTTGAATGCAGCACAGTTGTGTCTCCAGGAGCCTTTTATTTTTTTTCCGCGAGTTGCTGCTTAGCAACACCGCACTTAGCGCCGGTCAGATGGGCTGCGGAAAGCTCGCTCCAACCCGCCGCCTGCGCTGCACTGGGTTCTCTGTGCCGGCAAGTGCAGCTTTTGGGAAGACAGAGCCCGTTCACACAGTGCCTCAGCCTGCGCCTGCCCGGGGAAAGGCCGGGCTTTGCTGCCCCTCCTGCCCTGACAGCAGCTGTGAGCGGCTTGCACAGGGCTGCGCAGAGGCAGGTTGCTGCGCAGCACTGATTTATTGTGGATTATCATGAAATTCATCCGCTTTTCCCTATCACCTTTCCTCGTTCACCAAGGAGTTTGCAGTCCTAGCCTGGGATGTGCGATCCACTGGGAACCCTGCGAGCTCAGGCCCAACTGTTGGCCAGCCCCTGGACGTGCTGCCATGGCTGGTTCAAGCTGAGGATGCTCCTAAGGGAGCCTCTTCAACTCCACTTTAAGGGGACCCTGCGGAGAGTCCGGTCCACTCCGGCACCTCCCGGAGAACGTGGCTAGGGCAGGCTCTCACTGGGCCACCAGCGCCCTGCTCCCCTCGAGCACGACGCCCCCCGCTCTCGGATCGGCGCGTGGCAGCCTACACACTCGGGAAAACATGAATGCCGGCTCCTGCAGCACCAGGAATTTTTCACAACGCCCCCGACTGGGCTTTTTTTAAAGCACCCGTTGGAGAGAGCTGCGCTGCGTCTCCTGGCGTGGGAGGAGGAAGGCAGGAAAAGTTCGCTCGTGCCCTCCCGTGGAAAGGAACTCTCCGGAGGGCCGTGCTCACAGGGCAAAGCTGCCCCCAGCCTGGGGCACACGGGGCGCCAGGACTCACCTCTCTTTCGCCACCTTCTGCAGCTGCAGGAAGTCTTTCTTCAGGCTCTGCACCTTCTCCTGCTGCTGGGAGGTGCCCAGGGGGAAGCCACAGGAGGCCAGCTCGGCCGCCAGGTGCTCCAAGGTGTCCAGGTCCTCCTGGTGCTGCCGCATCTCCGCATTCAGTTCCTGACAAGAGCAAAGGACGATGTCAACCATGCTCCCGCCACCAGATTTGGTCCGAGGGGTGAAGTGAGCGGATAAACCAGGTAGCACTGGGTCCCGGTGAGCCAGAGAGACCCTCTGTAGGCAGCGCAGTGAATTACACCAGCATCGACTGGGTGGACACGGCTCCAACCCACTTGCTTCTGAAGCTCTGGTTCAGCATAGCCTTTCCCCAGAGCAAGTCCCACTTTCCCCTGCCCCTTCCCTGGGGCCAGTTGAGAGGCCACGCAGCAAACTGAGAGGGGAGCTTAATCCAGAACAAACTGAATCCAACCATAGCACAGATGTTCAGTTTTAGGCCAGCGTAAAGCATTTCTGAAGCTGTGGCCAAACCACCCCCAGCAGAAGAGCACTTGTAGGAAGCCTATGGAAGAGCCCAGTGCAGCTGTCACCAGACATTAGGAATCACAGCATCTCTGAGGGCTTCAGCATATCCACCACTGCACTCACTGTCCCAACTGCCAATGCTTGGGCATTTTGTTGTATTAACCTGTGCAGTTTTTTAACTGGTAAAGCCTTGCTATATTTGGTCTGGCCCCTAAGAGATGGGCTAGAGATCCCTCCAGGAGATTAGTCTGGCTCCAGGGAAATGCCATTCCCATCTCTCACTGCTGGAAACAATTTCAACTGCTCCACTCTCTCTCCCTTCCTCAAGCAAACAGCTAGCATGACTCCTGCAGATCTTGACCATCCGGGAGAGAAGCAGGGGGCTGTTTATCCAGGAACAAATCACTGCAGAAGGGTACTTCCTAGAAACTCTACACAGGTGGAGCCTCCTCCCTTCTTTGGGCAGGAGACCCCCATCTCACCTGGATGTGCTGGGAGAAGTGAGCAATGTCATGGTCCGGCTGGTTCCCGGATGCCAACATCCGAGCTCGGCTCTCCATGAACTGCTGCAACTTCTCTGAGAGCTGCTCGTACTGCTCAACCTTGGGCAGGAGGCCCTTGAGTGCATCCTCCTTCTCCTGCTGCTGCTGGCACAGCCTGCCAAAATGCTCCGTCACCTCTGCCAACTTCCCCTGCAGGGCAGAGGCCGTGGTGCTGTCTGCTGTCTCCATGAACTGCGTCACCATCTCACGGGTAGCTTCCAGGCAGCTCTTCTGCCTGGCGATGTCCTGCTTCAGCTTCTGTTTTAAACACACACACAGAAGATGCCATTTTAGGAAGGGACTCGAGCAAAATTGAACCAGCATGAAGAGGCTGGGCTGCCCTTTGGAACAACGACAGGCATTTCTAGACGACCAGGTTCATGCAAGAACAGTTTTCTATCCTAGTTCTCTTTCCTTTCTTATCTCCCCAACCTGACCTGCCTTTCCCTTTCCCTGGTGTCCGATATCTAAGCCCTGGTTGCTAGTCAAGGAGGACTTTAAACAGGTCTGTGTCCTGGCTCAAAGAAATTAGGTAAAGGGCCTGTTCATTTCCCTTTGTAGTGGTTTTGTGCATTCAGAATACTTTAACTAAACCTAGGCAACTATTGGCACAGTTCAGAAACTGGAGATAGATGCAGCCGTTTGAGGCAAGACAGTGAAGTGGCCATCCTTACCGCATTTGTAGCAAGCGAGTCCTGGACGGAGGCAGAGGAAAGAGCAGTCGGCTGCTCTCCCTCCAGGCTCTTCTCGATCTCAGCCACGGACTGGAGGAGACTTTCCAGGCTCTCCTGGACGCTTTGGGACTGGGCAATGGATTTCTGCAGCAGATCGGAGCGCTCTGCCATCTGCTGGGAAAGGCTCTGGAAATGGCTCACGATGGCATCTGGAGAGGTCAGCACAAAATAAAACAGATGTCAAAGAGGTCTTGAGTTTCTCACCTGGCATTCAGAGAGCAGTAAGGACCACCTCACCTGTTGGGTTTATTGCTGCAGCAACGCCTGCCAAACTCTGCCACGAATCCCCATCCCCAAACTGAGCAACAAGACAGTAAACCAGAGCCCAAAGGGTCAAAGTGGGGCAAAGCCCTCCTGGCATGCACAAGCCCTGAAGACACATCGTTGTACCTACCCTAGTGCTTGCACCTTTGCCCCATCTTCCCTCAAATGTGGGACACTTGCTCTTTCCTCCCTCTCTGGTTCGTTTTCACTTTCTCCCCAGCCATCCATGCTAATGGCGGCTGCTTCGTTCTGTACCTGTGGTTTCCTGAACGTGTCCGTGGTCAGGGGCTGGCTCTCCTTGTATCTCCAGCAGGGAATGAGCCGCTTTCTGGAGCTTCTCCACTGGCACTTGGTGCTCAGCCAGGTTTCCTTGCAGCTGCTGCTTTGACACAAGACAAGACCAAAGTCACCGGTCAGTGACACTCGAGAGACCTTCACCCGCTGGGAGCACAGTGCTCCACTTAAACCCTCTTGGGGTTGCTGCTCGGGGACTTCCTGAGCCTGCAGGTATGTCTTTGCATTTGGCCAGCAAAAAAAGCAAACAGATCAAGTTTCTTTGTTGCTGCTGACTTCACTGCTGCTGAGCAGAGCAGAGGCTGAATTCCTGTACACGCTCCAACCCTCCACCAGATCACCCAGAGATCACATACCTTAGCACTAGCGAGCTGCTTTTGCAGAACAGCAGGATCTGAAGAAACCGTCTCTGAGAGGAGTTTCCTAACAGCTGCTTCGCTCTCCTGCAGCCACGTCCTGAGAGACTCTGCCACCTCCTGGAACTGCTGGTAGTGATCCAGCAAGGTGTTTAGATGGGAGCCAAGCTTGGTGCACTGCAAAGGAGCAATAAGACATGATGTAAGGATGCACACGAGTACAGAGCAACCTGGGTGCCTCTGGAGAAGGCAGAGAAATCATTAAGGAAAAAAAAAATCAATCTTGCCATGTGTTAGAGGAATTACAGGAGGCAGCATGCAGACTAACACCAAGAGAGAGTTATTCCAGCACAAGCCCTGGAAGAAGACGGTCCTTGTCCTACAGTCTGCATATGTGCTAGAAGCACAGTCGGATTCGGGGAAACTCTGCTATCATTACTTGTTTTACATGGACAAGAAGAAAACAGCATCCAGGGTTTAACTCCCAGCCTTGCAAAGCCCTTCCCGTACCTTGGAGTGCAGCGTGGTGTATCGCTGTGTCGCGTCCTCCAGCTTGCTCTTGACCACGCTTCCAGATGTCAGTGACTGGGCCCCTCCGTCCTTGGCAGCTCCCTCTGCATCCAGCACCTTCTGTCCCGACATGGTAATGAACCGCAGGTCCCCTTTGTGAGAGATGACATCTTCCGAGAAGCTTCCCTGCCGGAGCAGCAGCTGCCGGAGAGATGCTGGGTCGCTGTCCCCTTTGCACATCCCTTCCAATTCCTGCTCCGCTTGCTTCAGCCAGGCCTCAAATTCTCCGTGGTCCCGCAAGAACTTCTGCAGCTCGTCCCGCAGCACCTGCACTTGCTTCAGCTGTGTCTCCGACTGCGAGAACGAAGCCGTGTACTGGTCCTTCAGCTCTGTCAGCCGGCCCTGGAGCGCTTCCCTCTCCTCCGGCGTGAGGTTGTGGCCCTGCTTGTCCAGGAAAGCCTGCGCCGCCTGTGTCGCCAGGATGACGTCCTGCTGCTGGGACAGCAGCTCCTGGTGCTGTGCCTGACACACACAACCAAGCATACGTGAGTCCTGCCACCCAGCGCCTCTGCCCACCGGCACCTCGCAGCAGACTCAGCCTCCAGGAGGCCGGGCAGCGACTTCCCAGGAGTTCCTGACTCCATACGGAAAGTGCAAGACCACTTTGAACAAGTGCTTTGGAGGACAGATCCATCTACCATCCCGCTCCGCTCCCCTCCCACCTTGGTCAGCAGCCAGAGGCAGGCTCGGCGCATCTGGCAGCCCTAAAACCTGCTGTAACGCTGACAGGCAGGCAGAAAGTTTTAAGATGGATGAGGTGTCAGTGCTGACCTTCAGCCTCTCGTACTGCTCATCCAGGCCGTCGGCAGTGCTGTCAGCTCCCATGACACGGCCATCAGGAGCATCCTGAGCACCCTTTCCCGCTTGCGCTCCCGGTGCTTGCTCGATGGGGTGCAGCCTGTACTCCAGGAGCCCTCCTTTCGGCTCCAGTGATGCCACCCAGTTCAAAAGGGAATCGATCTTATTCCTGTTCTCTTCCAGCTCTTTGGCAGCTTTCACCTGAAAACGCAAGGGCTCCAGATGAGAAGAATCTATTTTATGCATGTTCAAACTGTTGAACGGGGGAGGGAGACAAAAATGAATGGAAGAAAAGCCCTAAACTGTTTTCCAACTACAGCAACCACCTGAGACTCCCACAGAGCTTCAAAACACTTCGTAGCTCTTTGAAAGGGAGGAAGGTACAAAGAAGCTGTGAATTAACAGTTATAGCTCAGGCTCTCATTTATGGTGCATTTCTCACCCTGGTACAATCCCGGGGTCACGGACAAGAACCCGCCACCCCGGAGGGCTGACGCAGGCACGAGCCTGCAGGCATACACGTGGGCCTCCTTTTCCTCTCCAGTGCATGGAGGTGCCTGATGCTTATGCTCCCACTAAAGGCCTAAAGGCAGAGCAAGATGTTTTTACTGCCCCACTTCCTCTACAACAAGATTGTCTGTGCCTGCAGCTCTCAAGGCATTTCACCAGGGAGCACGTCTGTGCCTCACCTCACCCAGGGGACAAGCATGGAGGAAAAGTAAATTGTTTTATGCCCTGGCACCCAGCAGAGGAACGCCAGGGCCTTGGATAAATGTGTTTCCACCCACTAGCTCTCTTTGTCCATCTCAATCCCAGGGGTTGCAGCTCTTCGCACGCTACCTTTTCAGTCTCCTGCTGCACCGCAGCAGTCACGGCGCTCTCCAGCTCCTTCTGGGCCATCTCTGTTCTCTCCTGCAGGGACTGGTACTGCTCCTTGGCACGCTGCAGCTTCTCGTGCAGCGCTGCCAGCTCCCCAGGCTCCATCTTCGCCTTGTTCTCCTCCAAGAACTGCTCTGTGGTTTTCAGGATGCCGGCGAAGGAGGCAGCCCGGGTGTGCATGTTCCTCTGCAGCTCCTAGGCAGGCAAGGGAAAGGTGCCGTCAGGCCCTGTGCTCCCCAGAGAGGCACCACCAAACCTCTCCCCCTTCCTGCCCTTTCTTCAAAGTACTGACCTTAACACTGCTTTGCCTCTGCTGCAACTCAGACAGGTCGCCTTCGCCGGCTGCTCTTGGCTGCTCCACCAGCGCATACTCTGCCTCACTCAGCCAGGCGCACAGCTCCTCCAGGTTCTGCGTGCGAGCTGCCTGCTGCTCCTGCAGCGTCTGCGCTCCAGAGGAGAGGGAAAAGGAGAGGAGTTAGCGTCAGTGCTGCACCCCTGGGCACACACGGCGCTGAAAAGCAAGGCAAGAGGTTACAGCTGGAGCACCTTCCTGAAGGTGAGGATGCAGCACAGAAAACAGCTTTTGCAGCTCTCCATGTGCTCTCTCTCTGACACTTGCACGCTGCAGGAATGGACTAAGGGTCCAGAGTCACTGCCAGACAGCAATGCTGGGGGAAGGGATCTGCTCAGTGCACATTTGCTATCATTCAAGAAGGTTTCTCTCAATTTTCCTTTCCCTTAAGAATGCTGCTAAGTTCCACATGGAGCTATGCTCCAATTTATGCAGTCCTCTCTTGGGAGCATTTAACCAAAAGTTTCTCTGCCTTTTCCATTCAACCTTAAGAACACTAAAACTGCACCAGAGACTCCTCTAATGAGAGGTGGCATCAGGCAGCACCACTGTGGAGCCCTGAGCAACCTAAGGCAGGTTTGTTTTTGATACTGGTGTGGGAGAGGGAGCCTAGGAGAGAGAAAGCGTTTCTGTAGCTGATCCAGCTCCTACATTTTGCTGCCAGTGCACAATACAGAAGCGCCTGTTTGAGCAATTGAGCATGATGTGACCTGAGAGTCCCTGCAACATTTCTATTCCCTTTCCCCAGGGAAATAAAAATTTTTGAGTTTCCCTGAGCATTCCAGCAAGGTGATGTACAAACTTGTGCAAAACATTGTGCTTGTTTCTCACAATCATAAGATAAACGACAGAAGCAATTTGAAAGAGCCTTCTTAAGAGCTCTTCAGCTGCAAAGCGAGTTCTTCCTGGGTTAGGATGGGCGCACACTGAATCTGAAAAAGCAAAGCAAACTGGTTAATACACACACACTCCAGATGGGACAGGTAAGAGTTACAGAGAGCAACTGTTAATAAAAAACACATGAATACTGTCTTGAGTAAGAAGATCCATGCAGTGATATGTGCTGCAGGAATACAGCAGAGACCAAGGGACTTGCTTTTGCAGTTGCTGGCTGCCTTGACACGTCACTGACAGCTGTTTTTTCTTTTGGGTCAGCCAAATCTGACTTGGGCAGTGAAAATAAGCCGTTAAAACCACCAGCTGTCTGCAGTGCCAGCTGTGCACAGGGACTTTCTGGTGGGGCTATTACAGATTAGGGTGTCTTCCACCACCCCAAAGCAACTTGGTGTTTGGAGAAGGGTCTCTCCGACTGTGCTACCCAGATCCCTGAGAGAGCTTGATCTTTTGGAGGAAAGCAGCTTGCTGCCTGTGAGTTACATGGGAGGAGGAAGAAAGACTTTAGAGGAAGCTCATGATGTGTAATGGGAAGTCATAAATTGTGAGTGGCATGCATGTGTAATCCCAAAAACAAGGTGTCTCAGCGCATGTTCCTGTGGCTGGAGATTGCCTCAGTGAACACACTGCAGCCAGGAAGCAGATGTCCCACAACCTTCACCTGATCTGTCCGCTCTGCTTGCTGGAGACAGACCTGCAGGACCTCCACCTGAGCTGTCACGCGCTCGGACAGGTCCCGGAAAGCCTTCTGCAGTTCATTGAGCAACCTCAGCAGCTGCCTGCTCTGCTGAGGGGTCAAGTCCTGGGCATGCTCCGAGATAAGGAACTGAACGTCGAAGGCAGTGGCATCAAGCTGAGATTTGGTGTCAGCAAGGGGTTCTTTCAGCTCCTGAATGGAAGAGAAACAGCCTGTCAGGCAAAGTTACTCTCCATGGCCAGCACTTTCCTACACTGCCTTCTTCAACTGAGACAGAAACAAACAGAATTTACTGCTGCATAGACAGCTGTGCTCACCTGAAAAAAAGTACTTTGTCACCAGAACAATATATTCCAGAAACCCAAACAAACCCTACCTGAAGCACACTCAGTGTTGATGTATCAGTGTCTCACAACACCATTTTTCTAATGCTCCTCTGAACCAGGCCTCCAGCATCGTACCAAGAGGTTGCTCAGACCTTGTGCATAAAGCTGCCCTGTCTAGGTGGGCCTGGTGATGCCCTGAAGACAGATCCAGACATGGAGGTGCCAGTAGCTATGAGCAGCCTGGGATAGTCCACAATGACTACGTGTGGTACCACAACTCCCACAGCCTTCAACCCCCTGATTTCAAAGCCAAAGTGCTTGCTGGCAAAGAGGAGCACCTGGACTGACTGCATCTCGGGGGCTATTGCCAAGACATGAAGAAACATGAACGGACCAAGGGGCAGGAAAGGAGCTGGGGCTCCTTATACAGGTGATGGAGACTTGGAGGTGTGAGAGGAGGAGGCTCTTGGAGCCTCCACATAGGATGTAATGCTCTCCCTCAACATGAATCCCTCCTGGTCACTCAGGCTCTACCACACATCTGCATTTGAACATGTTCCCCAAAGGCCCAAAGCAGATGTTTTATGCATCGTGGAAACAAATATTGTGGAGTGAATACAATACTGTAACTCCTGCTGCAACAAGGGATAAAGACAAAACCACCAAGACTCTAGTAGGGAAGCAGGATTAAAAGCTTCTCCTCCCTGCAGAGGACAGCAACTTTATCAGTCAGGATTCGGGGCGTTGCCATGGCTACCTTGTAGTGTTGGAGGCAGCGATTCAAGCTGTTCGCATCAGTCATACGGTGGTAATCGCTGCTGTCCAACGCCTGGGCGGTACCAGAGACCCAGCTCAGCAGCTCTTGTAGCTTGCCCTGGAGATTCTCATGATGAGCCATGATTTTAGCCTTAAATGAAGCAGAAGCATATACTGCTTAAATAAGGAGCAGAGCACTCCAGGAAACAAGCACAGGGGCCCTCATGGGGCGGTGGGCCCAGCTGATGGGAAGGACAGCTGTGAGCTCTACCTTTTCAGTTTCCGCTGCTCCGCGAAGGTTTAGCAGCCGGGACTCCAGGACATCACTTGCGGAGCTCAGGGACTTCTGAAGGTTCTTGGCATCCTTCTCCAAAGCTTTCAGTAATTGTTCAGGGACTTCTTCAGGGGGGTTGGCCACAATCCACTTCACAGCGTCCAACTCCTGATTCACTGGAAAGCTCAGCTCCCTCAGCTCAGCATCCAGGGCCTGAGGCAAGACAGCATCATTAAGTTTAAGATACAACAACTTCATCTTCTCACTGCCAAAACTGACAGTACGGCAAAGGTTTGGAGAACCTGCTCCAAACAATGTAACTGCTAGAAAGATTCATTGCAATCGACCAGTTCATCCAACCGCGCTCAGCTGCCAGCCCTCAATTGTCTTTCTCCAGGGTATAAAATTCATTTCAGTCACACTTAGGTTATTGTCTGAGCATGGACTGGAAGGTGAGCCAGAGGAAGGGCCAGAGAGAGGCTGGCTTTGCACATAAATATGTTAAACCTGAGACTAACCTCCTCGGCTTGCTTCCCACAAGCGAGAGGAGGTGCAACAGCCGCGCATGAAGCCCAGGAGGTCCAGGGGCGAGAAGGGAAGAGCGCAGTCTTGCCTAACCCCATGCCGAGCTCAGCCTAGCCTCTCACCTCGGCCTGCCGCAGCAGGTCTTGCAGCGCTGCCAAGTTCTGCTCATCTGGCTGGACCCGCTTAATTTTCATCTCGATATCACGCAGCATGGACAGGTAAGAGATCAACTTTTCATCATGCTCCAGACACATCTTCTTGCTGAACATGATCTACAGAATCAAATGGTAAAACAAAAGCTCAGATTTTGACAGAAGGGAAAACAGAAGGTTTTATATATATATATATTATATATAAGACAACTTTTTACATTCAGTTTCAGGGACTTTCCACTTGCTAGCTTATCTACAAGATTTACTACAGGAAAAATAAAACACATGGCTCTTTTTTTCAGCATAAGCTTATAAATGGCAACAGATCTATGGTGTTGCAGTAAAAGCACAAAAAAAAAGTCCTACTTATTAGTCATTTGTAAGTAATGCTCTAGTAAAAAGAAGCCACGACTAAAGCTTGAATGTTTTCAGTCATACATCACTAAGCTGTTTGCCAAATCTTTTTCAGCTGATACTGTAACACCAAGCCCCAAACACTCACTCCCCATGTTCCAGCTATCCTTTGTGCTATCTGAGGACCTTGGACAGATTTAGTATCAAATACACACAAACAGCTAATAAAAAACACTGAAATAGCAAAAAGCAACAGCTTACCTTGGCTGGTCTCGTGGATTCCCTTGAGGTTTCCAGCAGCTTCCCCTCAACTATCACGGGTAAGAGCAAGCCCCGATCACTGGTGCTGGACTGCCGGGATCTTTCCTGGTGCGTCTCTTCTTGGGATTTACATGGGAGAGAGGAACCCGCTTCCCCTGTGCTGAACTCTGCCTCTTGTTCTTGTGGTGTCTTTTCGGCAAGTTCAAGGATTACAGAGGCTTCCTGAACTTCTCCGAGTTCCTCCCTGATAATTAATTCTTCTAGCTTTTTGCCTGCTGCAGGGGTTGTAGTGGATGCATGACTGGTGGTTTCCACTTTGGTATTTTCCTGCAATGTCCCCACCTCCAGTTTAAATGCCACAGAAGAATCCTGACCATTTCCGATGCCATCTACAATTACTTCCTGGGATTCCTCTCTTTCTGGGGGAACAGGGTAGAGCTGAACCCCTATAAGTCTTTCTTTAATTTTCTCAGAAATTGGCTTCTCTTCCTTTTCAGAAATGTTCTCTCTGCTGGTTTCCATTTTCTTTTGCTTGGCTGCATCTTTTAGTAATCCCTCTGTAATTTTCTTGGTGGTGGCTTCACTTTTTTGTTCTGGTGTGCTTGAGATGAGCTCCTCCTCCATCGTCTTTGGAGTTTCTTTGGAAACTAGAATAGGAAGGGGCTGTTTTTCCATAGAAGATTTCTCCAGCTGAGTGCTTTCTTCTGGGATACTAGTTTGCTTTGCTTTCTTTTTCTTGGTTTTCTGTTTTTTGGTAGGTTTTAGATCAATTTCACTTGATTTTTCCAGAACAACTGGACCTTCTGCATCTAATCTGAGGGTATCTCCTTCAGTGGGTTTGACACTTCTCT